TCTTATCCTGCCTACAATTAGAAATAGAGGCTCTGCGCTTTTGCCTTTACTGCAATCCTATTAATTGTAATAATCTATTTATTCAGAAAATAAACTCAAAATTTCATCGAGAGTATTGACTGAGTATATACATGTACTGTTAAGAGAAAACTTCCAAATCATTATTGCATCAGCATATGACTGCTAAAATGAAGCTCTGAAAAGCCTTGATAACTTAGCAAGATGGTTATTCTGTGTTCTATGCTAAAAATCACAATTTTCTTTTATCAATGTGTTACAGAAGTTCTTGAATAAGTCAGTAGAACTATAAATCTTGAGATGCGGAAACATTCGAAGCTAAATGGAGTACTATAGAGTGTTTAAAATTTAGGAATTTCTTGTTTTACGCTATACCTTTTTTGAACGCTCATAATTTTGCTTAGGTAAGATAGTGTAAAGCGGTTTACTGCAAGTGGTGAAGGCCCTCTATGCTAACAACATGTGATTCTAGCTCGATTTACCAGACCATTCCAAAGTTTCTACGTTAAGTTCATTAAGCAGATTTGAGTTAAACGCATTATATAAATCGCTACTAAGCGATGATATCAGCAATGTGTCTCCGGGGATCTGCACGTTGGGGTAAATATTTTAATAATAGAGAAATAATATTTGAGCTATTTCTGTGCTAAGGGGAAATGCTGTAAGGACAATCCAATTCTATTTCGGAGAACAGCAGTGATCACTTAATACCAATCAGCCACACGAGTTGAATAGCAGAGAAAACTGGAGAAAATTACATTTCTGTTGACTTCTTTGGCGGAAAAGATTGGAAAACACGAACAGCATGCGATCTCAAATAAACCGTTCATGTCAGAAGTACTTGTTTGAATATCACTGGTGTCGAAGACTACTCCATTTGAGAGAAAGAAATTCTTAAAAAAGACCGTAATAAGATTACTTATTTGTCTGGCTTCTGCTACAGGCAAGGCATCAGCATCCTATGCACCCTTGCATATTAAAGGTTGCTGATGAAACTAGCTGCTACATTGGCCTTTATCTAGTTCTCAAAAAATCATAGTACCTAAGTAGCCATATCTGTTAGCATGTTTTGACTAAACTAATGCTTGAATAGGAACCATCACACAAAAAATGAAAGAAACTTAGTATACCGTCCTTACGTACACAATGGATACTACTTACTAAGTTTGGAAACGTTTATAAAAAAGCAAAGCGCATTTTTCTTGTAATCTGAACTGTACATATTATAAAGAACTAAGCAAGCTCTGTTAAGCATAGACAATCT